AAATTGCTGCAATCTTTTTTCATACTCCCAAGAAACCTGAAGTGTCATGGTCCAGATTTCCTCCTTATCCTAGATTCTTAAGGTACTGGAAATGTACCACTGTGGATTGTAATGCCTTATTAAGACATTTCTACATAACCAATGTGTAAACGTTTTGGCAATAAAAAAGAAAAGGTTGGTTATTTCTTTTGAAACATTAATCCTTGACCTAAAAGTTAAGTTTATTCTCAAGTTTATTTTTGATGAGGTACTGAGGTATTCACAGGGCCAAGAGCTGTAAAGGATGTTCTCATGGCCAATGGCCATGCAAGGTGAGGGTTCTATTAGTGTATAGACTATGAGGAAAGTAGCTTCTCACCCTCCCCTCAACTTTCTTGACAAATGAGTCCATTAAAAAGATTGCAAAACCTAGTTTGGTGACACAGTAGGTAACAAACTGAGCCACAATGCCACGTGGCTGACCCCTGGTTTGGATCCTCAGGTTGGCTTGAAAATATGCAGTCATGTGTGCTTGTGCCCAAGATACTGGCAGACCGAAGGACTGGGGAAAGGGGATCACGGCATCATGAGAACGTGTTGACAGTGCCCTCACTTCATGTGCATATGCAATCTCCATGATGAATTTTTTTTATAAATGTTTTAAACTTTGAAAATATCTATTCATAATTGTTAAATATGTATTTTGATAACTCTTAAACTTGTATGTTAGTATGGTATTCCAAAGCCTATATTAAGAAATGTGTTTTTATTTGTTTATTTGTTTTGTTTTTCAGAAGTCGGTGAAGGCAATTTTAAAATCTGGTACAACCTTGAGATCCATAGCTCTCCCAAACCAGCTGAAAAAATCATTGAATTGAAATGCATTGCTCTGGTAAGAGCCCATTAAATGTTCATAGACTGTCTTTTTGTGAACAGAGTTTTTGCTGTTCCTAAAAACATCCATATCGGGAACCAGCAGTTAGCGTAATGACTGTGTCACTGGACTCCCACGTAGTTAACCGCGGCTGGCGTCCCGGACCTGGTGGCTTAAAACCCACGCCGGGCGCGTGTGCATGTGTGCCCAAGATCCCGAGAGGAGAATGGAGGAGAAGGGATTGCGGCGTGACCATCCCCTCTGGGGGGTGATTTCTCGCTTTCTGTCTCCCTGTCTCTCTCTGTCTGTCTGGCGAGCGCACGCGTCCTGTAGTGAAAAACCTCTCAAAAAAAATCCATATCAAATGAACAAATTGCGATAACTTATGCAATCAGAGTAATGTCATTATTAAATTCAGTGCTATGGACCTTACATGCTTTTGGAAAACATCTTTAATTGTATGGCATCTTATAGCATAATTACTACCATTCTTCCTGCATGTTTCAAGACTTACTAGAGCAAACTTAACCTTAGCTTATAGGCTTGTTCTCACATATATGATAAAGGCAGGATTGTGCTCTCAAAGGTTTCAACATTAATTCTTCCTATATTTGGCTTTTCACTTTGAAACATACTTGGAGCAATTGCTATAGATTTGGGATTTTAAGTAAGTCACTAAGAATAGATATTCCTTATGTGAAATTATTAAAGTGTTTCTAAATCCATGTTCAAGATTGCCAAGGGGGTGTCAAAAAGGTTGTGAGATTAAAAACTGTTAATTAAAAATGTTAGGGCATAAGAAGGAGAGGATTAGGGGAAAAACAAATAACACATTTTATATACACCAAAATGAAAAGTTATCTGCTGATGATAATGTATATAGTAATGTCTTTGACTTGTCTAATATGCACTATATTCATCCTGGGAGAAAAAAAATGCTGTGCACTTTAAAGATGTACAGTGATTAAATGTAAATTAAAAAATAATTTTTTAAAATTCATGCTAAAATGGACTTAAAGTCTGACTTTATTTGGGTGCAAAAAATAATTTTTTTAAAATTCCGAACCAGCCCCATGGTCTGGTGGTTTAGGGAGCCAGATCGCACGTGGCCGACCATGTGGTTTGAGTCATGCCCAAGGCTTACAAAACATGCTGAACATGTGTGCATTTTCAGAATCCCAGAAGAGAGAAATGGAGAAGAGAGCGTGGCATGAACATGTCCCAGTAGGGAATACTTTGTCCTCTCTGTTTCTCTGACTCTCGCTTGAAAGCACATGAACCTTCTTTCTGGGGAAAAGGGAAAGGAAACAAAAACATCAACTTTGAAATCCATGCATATGTTTTCATGATCACATTTCTGTGAAATTCTTCAAGACTTTTCTCATATTTAATAAAGTCAAATGTTGAGAATCTTCATTTAAATGAAGAATGAGGAAGCTATTAATTGCTATTAATGATGCTTTAATTAGATTTAATGGCCTTTTACGCTCAAGTATTTAAATTAATAATCACATAAGTATTATTTTGCTTTTTAACTATGTGGATAGATTTCTTCACAGAATTCATTATTTAGAATCTTGATTTCAGCTCCAAAAGTAGAAAAAAAAAAGATTGAAAACAATTTAAGCTGATAAATTGATTATTTGCCCACCCCTGGGCTAAATTGCTGCAATCTTTTTTCATACTCCCAAGAAACCTGAAGTGTCATGGTCCAGATTTCCTCCTTATCCTAGATTCTTAAGGTACTGGAAATGTACCACTGTGGATTGTAATGCCTTATTAAGACATTTCTACATAACCAATGTGTAAACGTTTTGGCAATAAAAAAGAAAAGGTTGGTTATTTCTTTTGAAACATTAATCCTTGACCTAAAAGTTAAGTTTATTCTCAAGTTTATTTTTGATGAGGTACTGAGGTATTCACAGGGCCAAGAGCTGTAAAGGATGTTCTCATGGCCAATGGCCATGCAAGGTGAGGGTTCTATTAGTGTATAGACTATGAGGAAAGTAGCTTCTCACCCTCCCCTCAACTTTCTTGACAAATGAGTCCATTAAAAAGATTGCAAAACCTAGTTTGGTGACACAGTAGGTAACAAACTGAGCCACAATGCCACGTGGCTGACCCCTGGTTTGGATCCTCAGGTTGGCTTGAAAATATGCAGTCATGTGTGCTTGTGCCCAAGATACTGGCAGACCGAAGGACTGGGGAAAGGGGATCACGGCATCATGAGAACGTGTTGACAGTGCCCTCACTTCATGTGCATATGCAATCTCCATGATGAATTTTTTTTATAAATGTTTTAAACTTTGAAAATATCTATTCATAATTGTTAAATATGTATTTTGATAACTCTCAAACTTGTATGTTAGTATGGTATTCCAAAGCCTATATTAAGAAATGTGTTTTTATTTGTTTATTTGTTTTGTTTTTCAGAAGTCGGTGAAGGCAATTTTAAAATCTGGTACAACCTTGAGATCCATAGCTCTCCCAAACCAGCTGAAAAAATCATTGAATTGAAATGCATTGCTCTGGTAAGAGCCCATTAAATGTTCATAGACTGTCTTTTTGTGAACAGAGTTTTTGCTGTTCCTAAAAACATCCATATCGGGAACCAGCAGTTAGCGTAATGACTGTGTCACTGGACTCCCACGTAGTTAACCGCGGCTGGCGTCCCGGACCTGGTGGCTTAAAACCCACGCCGGGCGCGTGTGCATGTGTGCCCAAGATCCCGAGAGGAGAATGGAGGAGAAGGGATTGCGGCGTGACCATCCCCTCTGGGGGGTGATTTCTCGCTTTCTGTCTCCCTGTCTCTCTCTGTCTGTCTGGCGAGCGCACGCGTCCTGTAGTGAAAAACCTCTCAAAAAAAATCCATATCAAATGAACAAATTGCGATAACTTATGCAATCAGAGTAATGTCATTATTAAATTCAGTGCTATGGACCTTACATGCTTTTGGAAAACATCTTTAATTGTATGGCATCTTATAGCATAATTACTACCATTCTTCCTGCATGTTTCAAGACTTACTAGAGCAAACTTAACCTTAGCTTATAGGCTTGTTCTCATATATATGATAAAGGCAGGATTGTGCTCTCAAAGGTTTCAACATTAATTCTTCCTAGTTTCTATATTGGGCTTTTCACTTTGAAACATACTTGGAGCAATTGCTATAGATTTGGGATTTTAAGTAAGTCACTAAGAATAGATATTCCTTATGTGAAATTATTAAAGTGTTTCTAAATCCATGTTCAAGATTGCCAAGGGGGTGTCAAAAAGGTTGTGAGATTAAAAACTGTTAATTAAAAATGTTAGGGCATAAGAAGGAGAGGATTAGGGGAAAAACAAATAACACATTTTATATACACCAAAATGAAAAGTTATCTGCTGATGATAATGTATATAGTAATGTCTTTGACTTGTCTAATATGCACTATATTCATCCTGGGAGAAAAAAAATGCTGTGCATGTAAATTAAAAAATAATTTTTTAAAATTCATGCTAAAATGGACTTAAAGTCTGACTTTATTTGGGTGCAAAAAATAATTTTTTTAAAATTCCGAACCAGCCCCATGGTCTGGTGGTTTAGGGAGCCAGATCGCACGTGGCCGACCATGTGGTTTGAGTCATGCCCAAGGCTTACAAAACATGCTGAACATGTGTGCATTTTCAGAATCCCAGAAGAGAGAAATGGAGAAGAGAGCGTGGCATGAACATGTCCCAGTAGGGAATACTTTGTCCTCTCTGTTTCTCTGACTCTCGCTTGAAAGCACATGAACCTTCTTTCTGGGGAAAAGGGAAAGGAAACAAAAACATCAACTTTGAAATCCATGCATATGTTTTCATGATCACATTTCTGTGAAATTCTTCAAGACTTTTCTCATATTTAATAAAGTCAAATGTTGAGAATCTTCATTTAAATGAAGAATGAGGAAGCTATTAATTGCTATTAATGATGCTTTAATTAGATTTAATGGCCTTTTACGCTCAAGTATTTAAATTAATAATCACATAAGTATTATTTTGCTTTTTAACTATGTGGATAGATTTCTTCACAGAATTCATTATTTAGAATCTTGATTTCAGCTCCAAAAGTAGAAAAAAAAAAGATTGAAAACAATTTAAGCTGATAAATTGATTATTTGCCCACCTGGTTTCTGGGTAAATCTCCATTGAAGCATAGAAAATGAATGGCTAAAATATCAAAACCATTCAAGTATAGCTTGCAAAATGATTATCTTTTAAGTGGAAAATTATTAATATGATGATAGCAGGATCATTTCACTCAATGAAAATGTCCCATTTCCATGACCTGGTTATCACTGCAGCATAAAATATTTTTTAAAGGTTATTTTCAAATGATATAATTTTAATTACATAACCTCTTGCTATGGAAAATGGTTACTGAATTAAAATTTATCTCTTTACAAGGACATAGGAAAAAAATTTTTAAAATAGGACCTGAAGAAATTAGTAGCAAGAGATAGGACTTCAGGAAAGGGGACATTTATTTTCTTATTAATTATATGTTTAAAGTAAGGATAGAGATGAGCTGAAAGATGAAACACGAGTAGCAAAAATAACTGCAGTTCAAAAAATCACATATAAACAACTGTTACAGCTTCTCATTAAATGGTACATAAAATACATTTTTTCCTGTAAAAGCTATTATCACTTTGAGAACAAAATGATAAAAACAGATTTTTATAACTCTCCACTTTGACTAGTAAAGATGGTCACAGACATTGAGGAAAACACACCATCAGGATTTCTTATGTGAATTCGAGAGGAGAATGGAGGAGAAGGGATTGCGGCGTGACCATCCCCTCTGGGGGGTGATTTCTCGCTTTCTGTCTCCCTGTCTCTCTCTGTCTGTCTGGCGAGCGCACGCGTCCTGTAGTGAAAAACCTCTCAAAAAAAATCCATATCAAATGAACAAATTGCGATAACTTATGCAATCAGAGTAATGTCATTATTAAATTCAGTGCTATGGACCTTACATGCTTTTGGAAAACATCTTT